GGCCCAGGAGTCTGCCGTTTGAGCCTCACGCCTCAGCCCGTGCTCACCTACAGGTGCTCAGCGCGCTCCTGCTCACGCTTCCTCGCACGGGGAGCCGCACGGGGAGCCGCTGCGCGCTCTGCTGGGTTCACTTCCAATTGCCACTGACTTTCCTCAGCTGGAAATGATTTCAGAAACGAAGTAAAATCTGGTCCCCTTACGAGGGTCCTTGTGCGTCTTTGAAGGGCTGCGTGGGTGACCCTGTGGGGGAGCGACTGCAGGCAAGGGGCGGGGCAGGGCCAGGGACACCCTCAGGGCGGGTAGAAACTCATCCTTCCCAGGCCTGAAATGCTGGGAGACACCTGCCAGCCAGCCCAGGTGTGGTGCAGGGTGTGTCTGGAGGGCGGGGCCACCTGGGACACAAGGGGGAGAGAGAGGGAGAGAGAGAAGGAGGGAGAGAGGGAGAGAGACAGTGAGAGAGAGAGAGAGAGAGAGAGAGAGAGAGAGAGAGAGAGAGAGAGAGAGAGAGAGAGAGAGAGAGAGAGAGAGAGAGAGAGAGAGAGAGAGAGAGAGAGAGAGAGAGAGAGAGAGAGAGAGAGAGAGAGAGAGAGAGAGAGAGGGAGGGAGAGAGGGAGAGAGACAGAAAGAGAGAGTTAGAGAGAGAGAAAGAGAGAGAGGGAGAGAGGGAGGGAGACAGTTAGAGAGAGAGTGAGAGAGAGAGAGGGAGACAGAGAGAGAGGGAGGGAGAGAGGGAGAGAGACAGAAAGAGAGAGTTAGAGAGAGAGAGAGTAAGAGAGAGAGGGAGAGAGGGAGGGAGACAGAGAGAGAGTGAGAGAGAGAGAGGGAGGGAGAGAGAAAAAGAGTGAGAGAGAGAGGGAGAGAGAGAGAGGGTCGGGGGGGGGCCAAAGAGTGTGTGCGATGCCGAGAGAGAGAGAGAGAGTGAGAAAAAGAGAGAGAGAGAGAAAGAGAGTTAGAGAAAGAGAGTGAGAGATAGTGAGAGAGAGAAGGAGAGAGAGAGAGAGGGAGAGAGAGGGAGGGAGAGAGCCCATGAGCCTGAGTCCACACAGCGTGGGGCTGTCCTCCCCTCTCCCCCAGCGGGGTCGGGCATGCACACACAAATGCCTGGAGTGTTTCCCAGCCCCAAGGCCGGGATTCACTCTGCATTCACCACCCAGACCTGCCCCATCGCACCCACTTCTCTGTGCCCCAAGGGTGGCCCTGGGTGCCAAGCGGGCACCAGCCCTCCCCTCGTGAGGAATTGCCATTCTACAGGGGCACACCCGCTCTGCTCAGGACATGGCCTCCCTGTGGCTCCTTGCAGTGACACGAGGCCCCGGAGCCTCCCAGAGGACGCTCAGGAACACTCGTGTCGTGCGGTGCTCTTCTGGAAAGAACCCAGGGCCACGGCGCATGGGCAGGGCTCGGAGTACCCGGGGCCTCGGTGTGCAGACGGGGCTCAGAGCACCCAGGGCCATGGCGCGCGGGTGGGTCTCGGAGCACGCGAGTTTCATGGCAGGTCCTCAGCTCTATGCTGCTCGCATCCCAGGTGAACCCCAAACTTGAGGACGAGGGTGCCCAGCCCTCCAGGGTCTGCAACCGTGGGAGAGCTTTCGAACCTCCCAGGAATCAGGCCAAGAAGTGGCAGCTCCTCATAAACTCCATCCCACTGCCTCGTCGCCATGAGCACACCAGGACGACTGCACGATTAAGTCAGCAGGTAACGCAGCGGCCAGAGCAACCCCACCTGGCTGGCCACTGTCCGACGCCCAGCCCTGTCAGCTCGAAGCACGCCAGGCGCGTGTGCGTGGTGCCCAAAATGCCAAGGGGAGAGTGGAGGGGAAGCTATTGCAGCTCGGCCACCCCCCGGGACTCTCGCTCTCTGTCTCTCTCTGTTACTCCAGCTAGCACATGTGCTCTTTGGCAAAAATCTCTCTCTAAAAAGGAAGAAAACTATCTCTGAGCCTGCTTTCTCGATGAGAGCGGGAGACCAGGCAGCTCCGGAGCAAGGCCAGGGCACCGTGCCCTGAGGGGTGGGCCTCTGCGGGCTGTTGACACAGCTCCACACCCTTCCCCCAGGTGGGTCCTGTCCTCTCTGCCCTCACCCCAGGGGAGGGACACACACTTCAGCCACTCACCAGGGTGAGCTGCAGGGAGATGGCTCCGACAGGTCCTGGCCCACGTGAGGGCTCGATCACGTTGGTGGTTCTGGCCCCTGCAGTAAGACCAGGACAGACGTGTGGACACCCATGTGTGGGTGGGGACAAAGAAGACCCAGCAGCTCACAGGAAACAGCCCCTCACTGCTCTGAGAATGGGCTGGGCTGGACATTCTTGAGGACAAAGCTGGGACCTCCCGCAAGGGTCATTTTGTCACCAGCCTCCTTACCTCGGCATCCCTAGTAGCTGGGACCGCGGACATACACCACCATGCCTGGCTCTCCAGAGTAGGTGGGGACTCGAACCTGGGCCTGTGGAGTGGCCTCAGACTGCCAAGGAGCAGCCAGCCCGTGGCTGCAGCTGGGCAGACCTTGCTTTATAAGGCAAGTCGGCAGTAAACGCCAAGACCCTCCAGAAGGCGCAGGTCCTTAGCAGCCACAGCCGTTCTGCGCCTGGATCAGACTGAGGCGGTGCCCCACGCGTTCCCTAAATGTCCAGTGAGTGTGTTCAAGACGGATGTGCACAATGCGAGCCCCAGCCACGGGAGGTCGGCCGCGTGAGCGTGCTCCTCAGAGAGATGCTTCATGGGCTCGGACCACTGCACTTAAAAGGGACAGTGTGGGGACCGGCGGTGCGGTGGTGAGGGCACTGGGCTCCCGTGGGCGGCCGGGGTTCAAGTCCTGGACTTGGTGGCTTCAAATTCACACGGGTGCACCAGCAGGTGGTGCAGTGGTCACATCGCGAGACTCCCACACAGCCGACCGCAGTTCGAGTCCTGGCCTCGGCTTGTAACTCACACCAGGCGCATGTGTGTGCCCGAGATCCTGAGAGAGTATGGAGGAGGCAGGGTTGTGGCATGCACCCCCCGGGGGTGATTTCTCACTTTATGTCTCTCTTTCTCTGTCTCTCTGTCTATCTCTCCAGAGAGCACATACACTTTAAGGGAAAAATAAAAAGAGAGAGAGAGAAAGAAAAGGAAAAAAAACAAAACAAAACAAAGAAAATCACACAGGGCTTGTGTGTTCATGCCCAAAATTCTAGGAGTGTAGGAGGACAGCGGAGCGGCCTCCCGGGGCTGACTGCTCTCCCCCTCTCCGTCTGTGACGAGTGCACGTGCCCCACTGCAAAGCCTTAAAGACCGTTCAGTGAAGGAGTGTCATGAATGCTGAAAAGCCAGCACAGACAGGAGGTCCGGATACGTGAGCGTGCAAAGGGCAGTACACGTGCCTGTGGCCCCGCCTGTCGTGGCTGGCCGGCCCGGAGCCCAGAGCAGGCACTGCTCAAGTGCACTGTGGTGACGCGTACGGCGCCTGGGAAGCACAGGCCTTGCGAGGATGGGTGGGAGCAGGCCCCACGAGGGCTGCCCACGGCCCTCCGCTCCTTCATCCGCCACCATGGGGCCACGCACAGCGACCTCGTCACACGCTAAGCCACACACCAGGACACTGCGAGGAGCCAGTTCACAACGTGAGCAGTCTGTGCCTGAACTCAGGGACGTCTGGCCACCGCCCGCTGAGACTGGTCGGCACCGTGGCTGAGCGGAGAGCTGCTGCCCACCGTGAGGAGCGGCCTCCCTGAGCCGGCCTGCAGGTGCTCCTCTAGCTCTGCCCTTACCCCCCAGGTCAGCTTAAACGCAATGGAAACACATTCTGTTTCCTTTTTTGGAGAGGTCTTTGCTATAGGGTGCGTGAGCTCACCAGAAAGACAGAGAGAGACAGAGAGACAGAAAGCAAGAAATCACCCTCAGGGGGGATGGTCACGCCGCAATCCCTTCTCCTCCCCTCTCCTCTTGGGATCTTGGGCACGCACGCACACGCACCTGGGACTTGAACCACAGTTGACTACGTGGGAGTCCAGAGACATAGCCATTACACCAACTACTGGTCCCTGAAACTCGTTCTTCATCAGGAAACAAGTTCCTACACCTTTAAGTCTCAGGGCACACTGGCGGAAGCTGGATTGAAACCCCAAAGCCTCTTAGGTCACCAGCTGTCTGGGGCTCGGGAGCTTAGTTTGGCACCTCTCCCTTGGGCACAATGACAGTGACGGCTATGAGGTCACTGGGCAGGGCTCATCTGTTGATCCGGCCTCTGTCCTGTCTTCTCGCTGATGCGCTGACATGAAGGGCACTCCCAACGCCCCTCGGGACCCTGGCCCAGGGAGGGCAGGGAGGGAGGTGCACCTGGGGGTGGCTCATGTCCCCCAGCCGCCCCCAGGTGGGAAGGGCATGAGGCAGCTCCCACTGTGATGAGCTGCAGGCGCTGCCACGGTCTGAGAAGCCGTCCGGGCAAAGCTGCCAGTGTGGGGGTGCCACGCTCCAAAGCCAGTGTGCCATGGGTGAGGGTCTCCCGAGGGAGAAGCTGGTGTGACAGGGCGTGTTGGGGAGGGGCCGTGTGCTGTGGGCGAG